AACCTGAGAGACTGTGTGGTACTTGTGTACTATCTGACTTAAGACTAACCTGAGAGACTGTGTGGTACTTGTGTACTATCTGACTTAAGACTAACCTGAGAGACTGTGTGGTACTTGTGTTAAGTTGTGTACTATCTGACTTAAGACTAACCTGAGAGGCTGAGTGGTACTTGTATACTATCTGACTTAAGACTAATCTGAGAGACTGTGTGGTACTTGTACTATCTGACTTAAGACTAACCTGAGAGACTGTGTGGTACTTGTATACTATCTGACTTAAGACTAACCTGAGAGGCTGTGTGGTACTTGTATACTATCTGACTTAAGACTAACCTGAGAGACTGTGTGGTACTTGTATACTATCTGACTTAAGACAAACCTGAGAGACTTTGTGGTACTTGTATACCTTCTGACTTGACTCTTGAGACAAACCAGAGAGGCTGTGTGGTACCTCTATACTATCTGACATGAGACTAACCTGAGAGACTGTGTGGTATTTATGTACTTTCTGACTTAAGAATAACCCGAGAGACTGTGTGGTATTTATGTACTATCTGACTTAAGACTAATCTGAGAGGCTGTGTGGTACTTGTATACTATTTGACTTAAGACAAACCTGAGTGGATGTGTGGTACTTGTATACTATCTGACTTAAGACTAACCTGAGAGGCTGTGTGGTATTTATGTACTATCTGACTTAAGACTAACCTGAGAGGCTGTGTGGTATTTGTATACTATCTGACTTAAGACTTACCTGAGAGGCTGTGTGGTATTTATGTACTATCTGACTTAAGACTAACCTGAGAGGCTGTGTGGTATTTGTATACTATCTGACTTAAGACTAACCTGAGAGGCTGTGTGGTATTTGTATACTATCTGACTTAAGACTAACCTGAGAGGCTGTGTGGTACTTGTATACTATCTGACTTAAGACTAACCTGAGAGGCTGTGTGGTACTTGTATACTATCTGACTTAAGACTAACCTGAGAGGCTGCGAGGTACTTGTGTACTATCTGACTTAAGACAAACCTGAGAGGTTGTGTGGTACTTGTATAAAGTTTCTGACTTAAGACTAACCTGAGAGGCTGTGTGGTACTTGTGTACTATCTGACTTAAGACTAACCTGAGAGGCTGTGTGGTACTTGTGTACTATCTGACTTAAGACTAACCTGAGAGGCTGTGTGGTACTTGTGTACTATCTGACTTAAGACTAACCTGAGAGGCTGTGTGGTACTTGTGTACTATCTGACTTAAGACTAACCTGAGAGGCTGTGTGGTACTTGTATACTATCTGACTTAAGACTAACCTGAGAGGCTGTGTGGTATTTGTATAAAGTCACTGTCCCTGTGGATGAAGAAGCCACAATCTCATCTGATCCAATATACTACAAAATCAAAACAATCGAAACTGCAGTCATATCCATGATATGTCCATTATACTGTTCTTATCCCGCAACTCATCCTTACATTACCCAATGAAGTTGCCTAATAAACCAAAGCTATATATATTCCATCAATGTCTTAATTAAACCTTGTGCATGTATTACACTGTTCTAAGAGCATTGTGACGTCATATATACCGCAATGTTTACACCATGTTATCTTAGTTTCAGTGATGTATCTGGTACTTTTTTCAGCTTTGTAAGCTGTTAACTGAAACACTTAACATTTTGAAACTATTGAAATCAAGAAAGAAGATCAAGGGGTATCATGTTAAATATATTGCAGGATAAGCAAAATATATCATGTACATGGACAATGTCTTGAAATCTAAGCAATATTTGGGCTCCAGCCAAAACGTGATGAGGGCTTGGCCTTGTCGTCTCTTAATCTTGACCAAGTATTCCTTATATTTCAAAACAGTATCCAAATTACCATGTATTTTGTAAATAAGTGAACATGTTTTCATGAACACTTGAATTTTTCCTTGTTTGTTCTAGTTTTTGGTTTTCAACACTGGCCATATTTAAATAATTTGGTATGATTATAGTGGCCTTCCAAATTATACAAACTTAGCCTAACCTAACTTACCTTCATCATATAACAAACTTATATAAAATTTTTGATCAATGAAAAACATGATGTATTGTACATCTATGGATGTACAGGTATATCATTAGAGTACTGAGTAAGCCTATCATTACTGACTACTGTTGAGACAAATGACAATCATTTCATCACTACCTCTAACCCTGTGACATCTCCGTTGTGAGTTATATCACACTTCAGAGTGGGCTCCATTCCTTCTCCTTCATCATCCTCAATGGACCTCTGTGTGTGGGGTCCCACGTACCACAGAGATATTTTGTTTTCCTAGAAATATAAGAAAAAATGCAAAACAATAAGAAAAAGAATTGACTTGGTTATCTTGAACAGGTCCAATCCAGAGACTATTTCTACCTACGTAGCTATTAATAGCTATGTAGGTATTTAAACCTATATACCCAAAGTAGCTATTTTTACCTACTGTTTGCATTATCTACAATTTGTGGCCAAAAGACTGAACGGCGCAACGCGGTAATTTATACCATATATTTTGATAGTCACACTAATGATGAATACGACAAAATTTTGACCATAAAACGATTACTTCCTGAATCTGCAATTTTACATTAGTTTCTATGCAAAATTGATAATATATGAAGTAATCATTTTTTGGCCAATTTTTTTTCATAACCATCATCAGTGTGACTGTATCAATAAATTCAGAGCTCATCGTGTTGCGCCGTCCCTGCGTTTGACCACAAAATGAAAGTAAAGCAGAAAGTAGGTAAAAATAGCTACTTTGGGTAGGTTTAAATACCTACGTACGTAGGTAGAAATAGTCTTTGGACGGTACTACGAATCACCGGAATGCCCCGTAATCACCGAAATGCCCCAAGAAATCACCGAAATGCCGCCGAAATGCCCCTTATTTTGTTATATATAAACAAAAAATTAATAAATATTGATGACTTTAACTGTTCTAGAGCCTAGATACCGAATAAAAATTTCATAATTTTAGCGTAAGTATTTTTATTTGAACAGAAGATTGTGCATGTTATAGTATCTAAGAAAGATAACTCTCACTGATTAAAGGCACGTGCCAAAATAGTCTTATTTTTTAATTTTTCCCTTTTTTCTGTTTTAAATATATTCTAAATAATAAGTCATATTTTTCATATCAATTAAAATCTTGTTTGTGATATTATTTACGTATATTCTTGATTTCTAAAAACGGAGTACACTAGTGTAATTTTACTGGAAATTCCTATCTTTATATTAAGTTTTAAAGCAAATAGAAAGATCTTTTTACGTTTAGTTTATAAAATATTTACCATGTATGCATTTAATAAAATTTCATTGTTATCTGATATGAAAATGGGACTATTAATGCAACATTTTTTAAAAATCTTATTATCAAAAGTTTGATTGGATCTCTCACTTCTCATCAGTACAGTAACAGCTGCGTAAAATGGAATCAATGCTTGAATACTGTGATTGTCTTTTTGGAATTCTATTCAATTTGTATGAATGAATCCTAAAGAATATTTGATCCTCTGGTAACTAGCAAAGAAAAGAACTGCAATGTTTAAAGAAAATAACAAAATTTACCAAATTATAGTTTTGTTTCGTTTTTGTGTTTATAAAATAATACTTTTTTTTAAGTTTCATATTTTTTTACTTAAATTTACAAGAGAAATGTTCCGTACAATGTTTGACCTGACTGACTATGTATCTAATCAAGTAACAGAATAAAAAATCATTAATAGAAATAGTAATATTTATACATGGCCTTAACGAAGTACAAAGTTTAAAACCTTTTTTTCATTTTATGACTGCATTTGTCTTTTGAAATTCTTACATTCTTACATCGCGGTCGTAAATTATCACGGGAATTTGGTGTACCGGTACCCCCTCTCTCGTTTTGTTTGGTAAAACGTTAACTTTATGGTCTGTAAAAGTAAATATATACAATAAAACATAAATTTACTCGATGAATAATGGCAGGTATATATATTTTAACGTTAGGCCTATTTTCCCCCAGCAGGCGTCTGCAGACGAATAAATGTTACAACCTGGTTCACAATGCAAAAAGTTGGAAGAAAAAGAAGACAGAAAAAAGTCAAATTTTTTTCTTTTATCATAGTTATCATTTGTCATCTAATTTTCTCCGAGAAATATCATGACATTATTATTTCTTAGATTTTAAACATTGTAGACTTCACTTCCTAGGTCATCACCAAATACGAGTTATCGCCCTTTGAAGTACGATACGCTTCGAGCAGAAAACACGAAAATAATTAATTTTACCGTCAGTTATGCTTTACTGAAAAAAATAAGCATTAATTTTTATGAAAAACATCATGTAAAAACGTATGTAAGGGATTTCGGTGGTTTTGTTGGGCATTTCGGTGATTTTTAGGGGCATTTCGGTGATTACAGGGCATTCCGGTGATTCGTGTTACCCGTCTTTGGACTGGACCTGTTGAACACTGATATCACATATATTACATGAATATGCTTAACAACTTGAAAACGTGAGAAAAAGGGACATTTATACATAAGATTATAAAGTATAAAACAACAAAAAGTTCAATACTTGTTGGTTATCGTGATCAACATGTTAAACTGTTCTACATGCACTGCCCTTAGCAAAAACAAATGCTATATTTGCATTGATTTTTGATTTTATTTGTCTTGAAAATACATTGAACATTGGTTATGCATTTATTTTTGATTGAATCCAATTCAAAAATCTTCAGACCATTGATTTTGGAATGATTGAAATTTGATTTTTTCAGTAAATGTTGTTTCAATGCATTTATTTTGCATTTATTTTGAATTTATATGATGTCATACCAATAACAAATTACACATGAAGTGATCTCTTTGGTAAATCCATGATTGAATTTGTATTTATTTTCTGAAGCATTGATTCAGAAATAAATGGTAGCTTTATCAGCTGTGTATATTGCTGGTTATATTAGTGCTGACCAGCTGGAAACATATCCAGGGAGAGGCTGATAAAAATCACGTGATTACTCTACGTCACTTTATCAGCCATTTCAAATTCTGCTGGCCCTGCATCCAGACAAGCTAGAAGCCATGATGTACTTTGATGGAAATGATCAACATTTTGTTGTGTTCTTCCCTGTGGACTAAACTATTCATATTATGGCAAAAAATTGTGTAGAATCTAAGAATGATGAAGACAGCTAGCAGTGGCTAGTGTTGTTTTGTGACAGACAAGTGATATTGAAGGTGATGAAAAGATGGTGCTGTAGAAGTAGATGCCATACAAATTATATGGATACATTGTTTTCTCAGGAAGTAAGTTATTTCTTTTTTTCTCAAAATTTATTCTAAATCACTGTTTATAGCATTATTTAAACCATCATTACACATTCTGTGGATTTTCAGAGAGGGGGAACATGCCAAGTATTAAATTTCACTCTCCAAGGAAGTCTTATGTAAACAAAGATCGGGGTAATAATTTCCATCACATGCTTTCTGATCAGATTAAGTTAATCTATGCTCTTTGTTTAAACAACACTGCTGGTGTCCACTACTGAGTATAAATATATAGTGTAACTATAAACTAATTAGTCTACACTACAGAATTACTAATTATGCACCAAACCTCGAAACACCATGCAGTCTTGACTCTCATTTCTTTTTTATTTAAAAGATTCATTTATTTATCAAATGATAAATATCTTGAATGTGTTTTTTTTTTCAGAGTATGAACATGCTACAAGTGCAAAAATTTGAAGTTAGATGCTGTACTGCCACCGAAAATGTTCAATAAATCTAAAGCAGTCTATAGTGAAGTGGAAAAAAAGATTAACTAATGCAGTTCCACAAAAACTACCAATAACTAGTCCAGAAAGTTAGAAACTTATTTGCTGAGTAACCTAGAAATGGAATATTCAAGGAAGTGTTCTTCAAATTGTGCCTTTGTGACACTGTATGTGATTAATGTATGGAATTACTGTTATTGTGTCAGTGATTTTGGGGTTTTATTCATGTTTCACACACATTCAGGTGTAACATTTAATTAATAGGAAGTTAGTAATTCATTTAATTGAATTTATAACTGTACTGGTGAATTTTTAAGATAAGTATTCAAAATTTTGGTAAAGATACATGTGATGGATTATTAGTAATAATGTTTGCATTGAGCATGATGCTAGATATTGCTTGTTACCATATGTGTTTATTCCATGTTATTTCTCAAGTCTCATAACATCACTTAAATGTTTTTATATGTATTACTTTAACATTTTTCTGTGATGTCACAATAATGCTAAGTGACATCAAATAAATGCTTCATACTGTATTTCATTTGTTTTGCATTGATTTTGCATTTTTCCGTGATGTCAAATTAATCCTTCATCTCATTTACATATTTCGCAAAAATCCAGCCATTTTCAATCAAAAGTCAATGCAAAATAAATCAAAATCCAATGTTCAATGCTATTTCAATGCTTTTTTCCCATACACTTTAGCAAGGAGGCACAGTTGATTTCTTTGCAAATCAAAAAACAATGAAAATCCAATGCTCAGAAAACAACTGCAAAATAAATCAAAATTCAATCAATTTGATTTTGCTAAGGGTGTACTTTGTCAGTGATGGTAATCAAATCATTGACAATAAAAATTCAGTTGACTTACTGAGGATAATGATTAATGAAACGAATCTACTATTTCAGAAATCAGAACCAACAAAAAAATCAATATTGTAACAAATTCTTCTCTGTTAAAAGGTTCTTGATAAACCTTGTTTTTCACCCGGTGTTGTGACCTAGTTTCGATTTGAACATAATGTTGACAGTAAATTTTATTCGCAAAAATACCTTACCTTATCGTCCCAGCTACCGGTAACAAATGTGTCTGAACATTCTAACATCTGTTTTTGACTTGGCTGCCATCTAATTTTGCTGATTTTTCTCGAAACAAACTTCACGAACGCAAACGGTTGTGTGGTCTCCGCCATTTTTGTTTCGTATGATTTGCACATGGCGGGACAAAAGGCGAAAGTAAATAAGAAACCTTGACGCACGGCTAATCGAAAGTCGAATTAAATCAAAAACATTCAAAGAAATTAACTGCATTATTCATTTATGTTTTTTAGCTTAATAGGTAGATTACAATTAATCTAGCTAAAGGTAAAAAAAATTAAAAGACTATTTAAAAATATAACAAGAGGCCCATGGGCCACATCGCTCACATCAGAACATGGGCTTCAGGCGCGGATCCAGGATTTGGAGTTAGAGGGGGCACCAAAATTAGACAAGGGGTCTAGGGGTCGCCTTGAGGTCCCCAGTTGGTCCAGGGCAAAGCCCTGGTGGGGGCCCAGGGGTCGAAGCCCCCGGAAGCTCCTGGATTCAAGAGATTTTGTAGGGTAAAAATGAGGTCTACCAAGTATACGTAGACATATTTGATTTACGCTAACTTTGACAATTTAAAGGGGGGGGGAGCCGGGTGCGCCCCCCTTAAATCCGCCACTGGGCTTG